CTCCCACAGCATCCAATGATGAGAAGCGAAACGTCTTGTTTTTTTCCCCTCCAAAAAAAAAATATCAATCCTTTTCAAAATAAAAACCACTTTTGAGACTCAACTTACCAACTTCGCACTGTGTCCCCGTGAATTCTGCAGGACAGACGCAGCGCTGAGAACATTGGTCACATTCCCTGAAACACACGCCCCCATTTCTACAAGGGTTACGTTCGCAGTCACGGGAAACGTCTACACAGAAAAAGCAGACAAGGAGGAAATCAAGAGAGGCGCACCAATGAAGACCAGAAAAGGAAGGGGGATTGTTGTGCGACACCAAGCCAGGATCAGACCTTGGAGGCCAGGTAGAGAGATCTCCCCTGGGGTGGTTGTTCCCTGCTTGGTCTTCTCTCCCTGTGGGTCCCTTGACCATTTTCTCTTCAGGAGTTTCCTTGCCGTGACAATTCTAACTCACGTCCTTCTTTTTAAAATAACTTTTACTGAGGAAGATTTTTCGACAGTACAAAAAAACACAGTACAATTTTTGAATGAAAGGAGAACAAAGAAAGGTAATGAGGGGGGAAGGAAAGAGAAAGGGAAAGGAAAAGAAAGGAAAGGGAAAAGAAGGGAAGGAAAAGGTAGGTTAGAGAGGGGAAGGGAAGGAAAAGGGAAAATGTCAGAGTTTGCGACAGCAATCACATCCAGAAGGCACACCCAGGTAACTGATTCATCAGGATTCATTAACTTCTCTTTATATATAATACAACACCTGAAGTAAACATACAACACCAAAAGGAGCTTTTCCAACGTGGTAGTAAATACAAACAAGCACAGGTAGAGAACAGTTTCACTTTCAGTTCAGAGCAGCAGACAAGTTTTGAGCTCAGCACAGACTCAGAGTTTTAGTACAGAACAGCTAAGCCACGCCCAGGCTCCTTGCTGTCTCTGTGTTGCTCACACAGCAAATACTGTTTCGGTTTCCGAACAGCCCTCATTGGCTGTCTTAGTTGCTATGCCTATTCATTGGCTGACCTTGTTACCATGTCTTCCAAGTCCTGAACTCTCGCACACAGTGACAGAAAAGGAAAGGGAAAGAGGAAGGGAAAGGGAAGGGAAGGGAAGAAAGCTGGAAGGGCAAAAGGAAGAAGGAGAAATGAGGAAACTCAGCACAGAGCTACACCAGGGGTGGATTGCTACCGACATTACTGCTGGTTTGCCGTGCAAATTTTTTTTGCGCGCACATGCTCAGTCCCCTCGCGCGCACGCCAAATGCGCCCTCTGCGAGTGTGCGCATTTGCACCTAAAAAGGTCTGCGCATGCATACAACATTAGAAAAGAGAAAAATACATTTCTGCAATGAAGATTGTTCTGCGCATATGCAGAACCGGAAATCAAGATGGCAGCACTGCCGATAGAACCAGTACGGGGGCATGGCAGGCTGAGTTACTACCTACTTAGCTGAACTGGTCCAAACCAGTCTGAACCGGTCCGAACCGGTAGGAACCCACCTCTGAGCTACATAGGAGGCAGAGGAAAGAGTCAAGATATTGACTCCCTAGTATCTCCTGGGGTATATCTATCAGGAAAAGAACAGTAAGAGTTTACACTGGCAAGATTCTGTCTGCTGTGTGAAAGCAAATAAAGAATTAAATTCTGACTGGATTGTTCCATGTTGGCTTTTTTCGGTACCTTGGGGTTGATAGACTTCATACTCAGGTTCGGCTGTCGTCTTATCGCCCGCTGTTATTTCCTCCTAGGAAGCAATTTGTCAAGAGTAAATTGTGTGAGTAGTTGACTTTGTTTTTTTTGTAAACAGATCCTCTGTCTCTTGCTCTCTCTCTCTCTAAAATTGAGAATAGTAGGTAAATCCAGGTAGTCCTCGCCTTACGACCACAATTGAGGTCAACGTTTCTGTTGTTCCTGTACAAACTCATATAGGGCTCCAAAGAGTAAATAGTATTGTTGTTTTTTTCTTGGAAATTGAGAGCCCCGGAGCTTTTGTAAAACTTGCAAGACAAAATTGCAAGTCGACGTATTTCCCAAAGCAGGAGTCACCAACCTTTCGGAACTCAAAGACCGC